CCCCAAAACCCCAAAACCCCAAAACCCCAAACCTTCATTCCAAAATTGAACTTTAAAGCATTTATAGCCTGTTAAATCAGAATTAGCACAAGTGGGTGCTCAGAGCACTTGAAAGCTCTTCTACGAGATTTTTAACCTCAGTAGTGGTAAATGTCCCTAAATATTCTGAGTCGTTGGTCGTCTTGCTCTTCTCATTCAGGACGAGCTTGAAGTTCTCAACCTCTAGAATTATAATAGTAGTCCTCTTTGTCAAATTAGTATCCGAATCTTTGTTCTTGCTGTAAAGGTTTATATGGTACTTGAAATAGTTCTGCTCAGAGTATAAAAATTCATAATGAAGTCATAAATCTGGGTTCATTATCTTGTTCATGATGTAATTAGTGTACTTTTGAGTAAGGTATGCCATCAGATCTAAAGAAATTATGTCATCAATGTTCTCCCTGCAAATACAGGTCTCCAAAATTTGGTAAAACACAGTCGGCTTTACGACAAGGTCCTCTTCTTCGTCTTTCTCATGGGACTCTTCTTTGGTTTCCTTTGCTTCATCAGTTTGGAAGGCATATTGTTCGATTGAAAAGTTGCACTCAATATAGACATCTCAGCATAGCTCAACCCTGATCTTCATCTCTCTATAGCCATCCTCAGCTTCTTTGCAACTAATCTGAATATTCTTAATGAATTCGTATTGGTCTTTAGTAAATTTTGTATTGAATTCTTTGAATAATTTTTCATTTTTACTTATTTTTGAGCTTTCCTCTCATAAATCACTATTTCTTCCTCCTTTCTGCCCTTGGTGAGATTCTCCTTTTCCTCCCAGGACATGATACTCAGGCTCTTTATTTGCGTAATAAGCCAGTCCAGTGGCTTCCTTAGCAAGGCACCTGTATAATGATAATAGTTTTAACTTCTGCACAATATTTGGGATAAAACTAGGATTCTTTCCTGAATTCTCTGTAATATTATCCCCATTGATGCTCCAGATTAAGGTTTGTTTTTGCTTATGAAAATCTTTCATCTCATAAACAAGCTCTGTCTTGAGTCTAAAGGATTTGCGGAGGGAAGGATGACACCTATACTCCAATTTTCCTTCCTTGCCTCTTACAAGAAGGACTTTGTCATAATAATTCATCTGCTTCTTGGGATAATACAAATTTGGAGCTTTAATAATATGACAGTAAAGAGTCCCACTTCCCTTCATCATCTTCTTTACTTTCTGAGATTTTTGCTTGAACTCTTTGAGTAAAAGAGCGTCTTGGATCAGATATTTTTGTCGAATCTTTACCAATTCATTATAAAATATCTTTGTGTCTTTGACTTCTTCAAGAAGCTGCTTTTGAGCTTTGTCGTATACCTTGATCTGATCCTCCAAAGCTTGGTATTTCTCTGTGAAAGCAGTGACTACACTCATTTGGTCTTCTCTTTCATGATTAATGTTAAACACCTCCACTTCATTAGGATTTGGCCTCTGCGTAGACTGTGGTCTAGCCATATAAGGGAACATTCTTTGCTGAGAAGCAGAAGACTGGTTATTTTAAAATGCAGGAAGCTAGGTCTGTAGCAGTCTGCATTGCATATTCTGCTTGGAATATATTGTTCCTTGCTTTCTCCCAATTCCTACTATTTGAATCCATTTTGTGAAAATTTATTATTCCAATGACAAATTAATAATTGGGGTTTTGGGGTTTTGGGGTTTTGGGGTTTTGGGGTTTTGGGGTTTTGGGGTTTTGGGG